TAAGGTGCCTATTACTATTGGTCTATCTTTGCTTTCTTTTGCCAGTCATTCTATTTCTATTTGCAGGTCTTTGTATTTTGTGATTTTCTCCAGTTGTTCTTGTTGTTGCTATTATTATTAACCTGGTCTACCTCAAAGGGCTGACAAAGAGTATCTGCACTTAAGTTGTCCAGATGGGTGTGGATGAGAACATGAGTTACTGTAGTGAGATCTTCTTGCTCCAGCTAGCACCATAACTGGTACCTCTGCTGAAGCTGGGCAAAGGTCTTCCTGGCCATGGCCCCCACCTGCCCATCTGGCAGTAGTCATGAGCCAAAGAGAATCCCCAAGTCATAGACCAGCTCTCTCAAGTAAAGTGCCACCCCCTCAAGAGGCAATAGCATAGCCAGTAGAGAACCACAATGGACAGACAGGAACTCTGCCTTGCATGGGTTTAACTTCAGTCTATTTCTTCCCATTCAGAGTTGCTGAAGTGACAATGGGTTGCATGGAAATGATTCTTCAGGATGGTATTATCTTCCCAGGCAATAGACATAAACAACCTGAACTTTTAATCAACTACTTTTATTAGAAACAATTTACAGTAAAACCATCATTCCTTAGCACAGCAATAGTTGTCAATTATTATACATAGGTCTCTTCTTCTCTGTGTCCCTAAAAGGCAGTAACAGATATAAACATCATGATGGGATTTCTAAGTGCTGATGTGGTTAAATTAAATGCTTAAATTTAATTGGGTCTCTCTAACCTTCTCCTGCAATCAGAAGCTGTGTTTGCTTTTCACTTCCTTCCTTTATCTCTCACCTAGGATGAGAAAGACCTTAAACTGTGATTTAACTTTTTCAAGCTTTCTCTACGTGCTTCCTCCACTTTTTAATCCCTTTTGCACTGCGCGCTGACTGAAGACTTTGGTTTCTACTTGTTTGTTTTACTCCTTCCTTGAACAGATCCTTCTTCCTTGTATTGGTCTTCTCTCTTTGGGTAGCCTGCTCTCCCATTACTTGGGAAGTTTTCAACCTTTTCTCCAGGGGCATGTTGGCAACAATGGTACTCCTTCAACCCCTGTTCCTCTCTCTGGTTTCTTCTGCTTTTGGGATACTCTGGAGGCTTTCAGCCTCTTCTCCAGGGCCTCGGCATGCTCCAACATTGTCCCAGCCTATCTTCTTAAGCAGCAACTGTTGCAGCAGTCCCTAGCTTTAATGGCGGTTCTCAGCAATAATCACAAAGCACACACACTCATCTGTGACAGCAGCCAAAGCAAAATGCCAAACAGTCTTCTACTCTGCTTTAAAAATCCGCTCCACCCACCTGGCATGCAGTATTGGCAACCCACCTAGGTCAGAAAAGTTTGCAGTTATTAGTAATTATCTGGATAGATCTGGCTAGTGAGAAGAGAATCAATTAGCTGGACATCCTCTTCCAAGACCCCAACAGTCTCCAGACACTGTGACAAAACTTTAGTTGCATTGCTGGAGTGGCCCAGGTTAGTGACATAATGTTCAGTATCATCAGCATATTTATAATAGAACATTCCCAGTCCTCACAGGCATTCCATGGGAATATCATGATCCATGGTGTTAAAGAAAATGGAGCTCAAAATCTGGTCTCCTTTACAGCACAGGAAACAGTCCCTCCCCCTAGAAGGCACTGAATCTCCCAAACCCAAATAACCATGCTGTCTCCGGACCTCCTCAGAAGGAGCAGGAATCTAGCCCACACGTGACAAATAGCAGTGAAATTGTTTGCCACACAAAGTCACTTGGATTGAGATGGGTGGCTATAGAAATTGCATAAATAAATAAATAAATAAATGGGTTATTCACTACACTGGCAAAAATAAGTCCCCAATGACATAGCAATTCTCACACAGGAAGATGTATTTCAGATAGTACATTCCAATCCAAGGTATAGTGTGAATGGGTTGGTAGTCCTCATCGCAATAAAATTTTTGTGTAGGTGTACAGATAATTTATTTGCATATCACTCCTATTTAAACACAGGTTGCAAGCGACAGTAAGCTACCTAACGACTAATATGGCAATTAATTAAGCTTGTTTGCAAACAGACTCCGTTGGAAAAAAAGGTTGCAATTATTTCATGAATTTTAATAATTTAGTATGCACCATTGAATTCCATGATTAATTTTGTATTAATTGTGTAATTATTATGGATTCCAATAGAGGTGAATATGTGTAGCTCAGGGTTGGACTGTGGAGTCCTTGGGGTTCTCTGAGCTTGGTTCTTTTCTTGCAAACGTTTCATTACCCGGCTAGGTAACATGCACTGAAGATGTTACCTAGCCGGGTAATGATATTATGGATTCATTATACAATAATTAAATATAGACCAGCGTTTTATCTTGCCATCTTCCCTTCAGAGCCGCCTCAGGAAGAGGCTTTATCTTCCTATCCTGTGACGATTGGCTCAGCGGGACTCACACGCCGTCTTTAGGAAAACTACGTCTCCCATAACCCCCTGCGGCATGACAGATGATCCGTAGAGACGTCGACCTTGGGCACTGGGGTCGCGGTTGCAGTTTCGGCCAGAGCCGTTAGCAAAGGTGGCTGGTTGTTGGTTAACGTGTTAAATGTGAAAACGCAGCCGACATGATAAAGGTTACTGGCTGGAGGAGTGAAAGAAGTGGTGAGATTGTTAGGTGTAGCGAGGGGGCGAGAGAAAGGCTTTGTCTTAATTTTTCTTTTCGTACCTCAGGAGGAATTTAAATGTAACAGATTCCAAAAACTGTAAAGTGTTCTGCGGTCGTGGCAATGTACCAGGGTCTGCCCCCCCCGTCCCCCAATCTCTTTTCTTATGAAATGCAAGGATCAGTTTGATACAGGTCTGGGAAGTGCGAATAATGAACAAGATAGCAAAACTAAGCCTGCACCAAATGCCAGTTTTTTGCACTTGTTTTAGGCTGGAGAGGGAAAGGGTTTTAATTAAAACCATGAACAGGTGAATTGCAGGAAACATAGCTCCTTTTAGGAATGAGTCACAATAAAGGATAACAAATGGTAGAAAAAACAAAAATATTCATATTTCTATTTTTTAATTTATTATTAATCCAAATACATTTGCTAGTTCTGTTATTTTACTCAAGATGGAAAAAAATCTATATATGAATAGGAAAAAATATTGATATAATGTATAAAAAATAATGGCCGCATTTCAGCTTAGTAATGTAAATAATAGAGTAGTTTAACTGATGGACCAACAGTTCACCTTTGCTGCTGTTTATATTTTTGGTGGGAATTTTCATTTTTTCACAGTCTAAAAAGAAATCCACTAGAACTCAGTACTTTCAAGATGTGCAGAATAACCATGCGCTTATAGAAGAATGAAAGGTAAGTATTAATGGTTTTAACTCTAGAGTATTAAGAAATTGTATTATGACTATTTGGCAGCATTGCAGCATAATACTATCATTCTGCAGCATTCTGGGGCAATATTTATATGGTTAGGTTAGTCTGCTGGGAAAGATGTTGTTTGTTTTTAGTTGACCTCACTGATTTCCTAGTTTGGGCTAGTAAATCATTGGCTTTTTAATCAATTTCATTTTAAATGTTATAATATTTGATGGAAATGGATTGTGTTTCTTTCAATCAGTATCTGTTGAGTATGTGCAGTCTATGTTGAGCTCCAATTCATAATTGTTCATTATTCAAGAGAACAATTTCTGTTGTATTAATACACCATGGCAGAATCAACATGTCTTCTAAAACAGTCAGATTCCATTGACACAATGGAATATCTAGCAGCAGATATAAAGTGCAGTCCACACACTTTTGCCCTCTAAATTTTTACTGTGTGTACCCATTCAATTTGATTTTCTAAAACTATCTAACAGAAAAGAGCTTGGTATTAACAATAGGTAATTTAAGAAGTATTAATTCATAATAATTCATTTAATTCTATTTAAATTTGTTCAGATTTACAGTTAGGTGATGGTTAATACTATAGCTGCACTGAAGAATTATGAAGTGGGTCTGTGTGGTGCTGACGAGAAAAATACACTATCATGTCTGGATATGTTCAGCATTGCTTCCAAAGAAAGCAAAATCATTTCAAGATTGCTTTACCTATGGCCGTAGACTGATGTCAGATCACAAGCCTCAGGACATTATAGACTCTTACAAGCTACTTAAACTTCAGGAAGGATGTTCACTGGATGATGTTAAAAATTCATTTCTAGAGCTTGCTAAGCAATACCATCCAGATAGTGGATCAGCTACAGCAAATTCTGCAACTTTTGTTCAAATTGAAGAAGCATACAGAGTTGTGCTTAATGATATGGTCAAGAAAATAAAATCAAGAGACAAGGAAGAGGATGATGATAAAGACAAATTGAAATCTAAAGCTGTACAACATAGACAGTATTTAAATTTTGAAGGTATTGGTTTTGGTACTCCAAGTCAAAGAGAAAGGCAGTATGTGCAGTTCAGAGTCGATCGAGCTTCTGAACAAATCATGGAGTATCGACAGCGGCAAATGGAGAGCCAACTGGCTGCAGGTGATGTTATGTTAGCTAAAGATGTAAAGCAAAGTAAAAAAGCAAAAATAACCCAAGCAATTGAACGCTTGGTTGAAGACCTCATTCAAGAATCTATGGCAAAAGGAGACTTTGATAATTTAAGTGGTAAAGGAAAGCCATTACAAAAATTTTCAGACTGTCCACACATTGATCCTATGACACACAATCTGAATAGGATCCTGATAGATAATGGATACCAACCAGAATGGATCCTTATACAGAAAGAAATACGGGAAACAATTGAAAAGTTAAGGAAGGCTATAGTAGCTTCTAGGAATAAGTTAGGAGATCCAGTGACAGCCCAAAAAGAGAAGCAATGGAAGAAGGTTTGTGAAGAATTTAGGGAAAATATTAAGACATTAAACAAAAGAATTAATGATTTCAACTTAGTTGTTCCTATTCTTAGCAGACAAATGGTGCATTTTAATGCAGATAAAGAGATTGCACGTGCACAAGACATCTATGAAACCCAGATGAAAAAGAAGTCCGAACCAGAAGCAAAGAAAACAGAAACAGAAAATGAACATGGTAGACATGACATGAAAACCATTTTTTTTAAATGGATAGATCTTATTTTGAAGTAAGATCAAGAATGTAGTCATTTAATTTCATATTCAATGCACTTTAAATAAGATTCATAGAACTTTTCTTTTTTTCCTATTTATTAGAACAATCCCTTATTCAAACTGAAAAACTGAACTGAACTGCAAAACTACAAATAAATGTTTACCAATAATCTTATTTTTGTTGATATTCCTTTGTCAAATTAATATTTAAATAACTAGAATATTAGTTAAATTGTGTTTATACATTAGGTATTTTTTAAAAAGGGGCTACTCTGTGTTTTTGAAATAGTACATTTAAGAGGAGATACTTCTCTATGTACTTTTAGGGATAAAAAGAAATTGATGTTGAAGTCATGAGAAGAGCTGTTCTCTAATCTATGATCTGTTATCCTGCGACTTTTTTTTCCAAAAGCAGATTAAGAAAAAGTGAAAACTTGAGACCAGATTTAACTGGTTTTTTATGAATGCATATTATTTTTCATATATTTATACTATATTATTTTTCATATATTTTATACTATTTAATACCAATTAACTATTAAACAATTTGTTTAATAGTTAATTGGTATTAGCTATTTGCATTGATAGCCCATTCTCATTAAAGGGAGTGGGCTAATCTTGCTGCTAATTAAACAAACATTGCTTTAGGCTAAAATCCTATGAAAAATTACTTGGTAATTAGGCTATTGAGTAAAGTATAAGATCTGTTTGAACTAAAAATGTAGAGAAGTGCTCTGTAATTCAAAAATATTATTCAGAATATGGAAGGAACTTGGCTGTCAAAAGAATTATAATGCTATACACAGGGAGCTGCACTGTTTAAAATTACTGGGACTGGAAACTGATTATCAGAAATCTAAGTTACCAGTGATTATTAAATTGCAGTGAAACAAAGAGTACTTGTGGGAGTGACATCAGATGCAGTTAATGTAATTGAAGAGGCTCACAGAAATGTTAATTTGTGAAGAAAATATAATTGGAAAGCCTCAGCAAAACTGTACTCAGTAGAATGTGATGGGTATTACAGTATATCTAATCAGTGTTAGTGGCTTAGGCTTCACATTGACTATATTCAGTGAGTAACCTCCATTGAAACCAACTGGACACTGTATTTGACCCCCATACCCAGATATAAGGTTGCATGATTGCTAATATCTCCCAACAAATCTATTATAACATTATCTAGATTTATCCAACTAGCTGCTTTTTGGCATTCTGCAAAAATTTTATGACTGATAAACGATTAGAAATTATTAAAATATGGTTTGATTCTTTGTCTCCTTGAGTTTTCTTACAAAGATAAGTAATAATTTTAATAATTTAACAATTATTAAATATTAGTTTTAATATTAATATATTCAATTAATTTTAATTAAAATATTTTATAATAATTTAATA